ATCATAAAAGTTGTAGAAGGTGTACAAATTACATTGCCAAAGCCTTCTTTATATTGATGTCAGACAGTGTTTTCATTGGTTAAAAAATGTGAATGTAAATTCATACAGAAATTTTCAGGGGCTGTGGGTAAAACAAGCATTTTTTTTGTTATAATGTTAAGCTGAAGTTTTACTAACAGGGCTCATGCTTAACTTCTTTTTAGGGGCCAATCCTATAGCTCATTGTAAAAATGTACTCTATAGTGGAGGTTATCAGAAAAACACTGAATTAAATTGCAGATGTTAAATAAATTGAAAGGAAACTAAAGATATCAACATATCTCAACTTATTTTGTCATGAACACGTATTTCATGAAAAAAAACACAAGTCAAGGCATTTCATTTTTTTCAGACCACTTGAATGATTAATTTTGTTTCATATCTGATCTTTAATTTCTCTCTAAAGTATGGTATAACAACTTTTTGTTCCTCTTTAAAGTAGTGTCCTTAATAATCAAAATAAATAGTGAAATAAAATATTTGCATCACTGCCAGTATAATATATTTTGTTCCCGTATAACCCATTACCATATAGCTTATTTGTCAATAAGATGTCAAACACTTTTAATAGAGAGATGTAAAAATCATACAGTTTACATTGCCACTAACTTTATAACAATCTTGCTTGGAGACGGCTTGAATGGGTAATGAAGAAAACTTTAATGTAAGTTTAACATAACAAGAAATGTACATTACCCATTCAAGCCATCTTCAAGCATTATTAGTCTCTAAGTGGGTTCCTCGTCATCGAATTTATAACAATCAGTTCTTCCAATCCTGAAACAGCTGTTAATTAGTTATTCGTGAATTTGAATTTATAATAAGCAAAATCCTCAAGTTAGCAACAAATGGAAAACATGGAAATAGCTCTAAAATGGTTTAGGTGGTGATGAGTTAAACTTAAATTAGTGTCCTTTCCTTACCAAATAAATAATGAAAGGAAATCTAATGTGCATCATTGTAAGTGTCAATTGATCTCCCAACATCCATTTCTTGGATTCTTCCTTCATCTCCTTCTTCGTCACTCTCCTGCACCTGCTTCTCAATCTGGACTCTGCCAGTATTTATTCTCCTTGTGGAAAGTGATCCTGAGTTCCAAAAATGGATAGCTGTTATGGGATCAAAGTCACTTATTGAAGGAGAGTGGAGCATGACCAGAAAGAAGCTGATCAGTGATCCTCTCAGCTCCCAGAAAAGATTTCAGATTCATCTTGAACATCTTCATTGTGCTAAATCTTCTCTCTGCCTCAGCAGAACTGGCTGATACAGACAGCAGCAGGTCAAAGAAGCCATAGATGTTAGATTGCTCCTCCTTAACCCTAGGGATGATAGCAGCCCATGGCTGGCCTTTCTTGCTATGCCTGGTGAAATTAAGTAATGAAATAGATGTGGAAAATGTATCCGAGAGACCATCATGAGAATTGCATTATTATTCCTGTTTTTAAATTACTATTTTGTGTTCATTTATAGTTATTATTTTATATTGTTGCATCAGCGAGGTCACGTGACAAGTATCACACCACCTCCTTCTAGAATTATCCTGTTCTTTCGTGAATTGTCGGGAGACTACTAGATTTGGGGGTATTCTGGTAT